TCCATGATCCATGAGATGTGATCATCAGTCTATCTACATAATAGTCTTAATGCTTTAAGGTTATCCCACTTCACAATAAAGTTCGACTATGAATATTTTAAGAATATTGTCCTTATATTTAATGGAATCTCATGATTAAGTCACACTTAACATTTCATTAAACAGACTAACTATTCTAGAGACTTTATTATTTTGAAAAAACAAATATAATAAAGAAATACTTTTTATTAATAGTAAATAATTCGATACAAGTACCAAAAGTATTGACTTCTAGGGTTTACACCAACAAAAAAATTTTTTTAAAAACAAGTCAGAAGTATTTGCACAAGTACATAACTTTATCATCGAGATAGAAACTCAACACAACATCACCCTTAAGATAATCATAACTAACAATGGACCTAAATTCATGTTAGACCTCATTTTATGCTTCAAAAAGAATCACACACCAAAGGTCGTGTGTTGAAACACCTTAGCAGAATAAGAAGTTAAATTGAAAGCATCTAAATTTTCCTAATGTTACAAGAGAATTACTTTACCAGGTCAAACTACCTAAAACGTATTGGTCTTATGCTATCATGTATGGTGCCTTCATTTTTAATAAGATGCCAATAGAAGTCTTACAAAATCAATTCTTCTACCAAAAGCTATCTTATAAAAAAAAAATTAAATCAACTCCTTTAAAGTGTTTATCTCATTATGTTATGCCTCTAGTATACACATACAAAGAACCAAATTAGAATTCAAAATTTAAAAACTAGTTTTCCTTAGATATGTTATTGGCATGAAGAGATATGTTTTACTTGATCTTAATACAAAAGAAACTTTTACCTCGAAAAATGTTTTATTCCATGAACACATTTTTCCGTATAGTATAAAAAAATATGTACTGCTCACTCTTGGACATATAATCCTTCAAATTTATTTCATGACTCCATAAAAAATATTCACTCACAAAATGATGCCTATGATCAGCTAAACCCGATATAGTTCAGATTTCATTATGCAATGTTATGAATCAGTTCTTTTACTACCATCACGGGATTTGGTCATCATGGTGTATCATGCTGAAGTATCCATGAGTAGTTTGGTTTCTTATTTCCCTCATGTGGTGAAAGATTTTCTAGGAAGCACCTCAAGTCAATCTTGTGATCTTCTAGTTTGTGTTATTAGGAACTGTCGTAATATCTAGTTGCTTTTAGATATCTTAGCTGGATTGCAGAATGAACACATATTTTTGAATCTTACCAAATGTTTGCATGTGTCAATCATAGCATTCCATCAAATGGAACATCTCTTAGACCTAAAAGAACAAAAAAAAAACATGGAAGTTACATGGATTCGTCGGTTGAAAACAATAAGTTATTTCTTAATCATCAATATGACGTCTGAAATCTCTGAGAGTATAAATATCTTATTTAGCCATATTTTTTTCTTGTTGTTGAGATACTCAAGTAACTCGCCGAATTTCTCTTGTAGTTCTCTAGATTTTAAGATTAAACTGCAAATTTTCTGACCCTGCACTATGCATAAACTAATCTAAGAGATACTTGTAGTTATACCTTTCAAACGAAATTTTAAATAAGAAAAAATATTAAATTAAAATAGATATTAAAATGTTCTAAAACTTCAAGTATAATCGCCTATTGTTTTTTTGTTGAAGTGATCAACAATCCTCAGTAATAGAGCCATTTTGTCAGAGCAGAATTGAAGTCACAGTAATTGCGCCAACAAAAACCACAAAATTGAAAGTAAGATTATTGTATCCAAGAAGATTGTATTGGCCTTATGATAACATGATTTTGTATCGTATTTTTAGGCTCACTTTGCGCATTTTAGGTCTGAGTTTTTATCGAGTCTTTTGCATTTTTATATGTTCTTATTCTGTTTTTATGTTGGCAGGTGTTCCCGTCGAGATTCTAGAAGAAATCGAGAAAAGAAGTGAATGAGAAGGAAAATCCAGCAAAAACCAGCAAATTCTGCCAGCCTTTCTGATATGGCGCTCACCACCACCAAATGGCATTCATCATCTTCCCTTAGAGACCATGGCGCTCGCCATGGGCACCACGGCGATCGTCGTGCAGTTCGCAGGAGTAGTTTCCACTGTAGAATTTAGTTTTTGAACAGTTGCTAGCGGTTATTTTTCCCTCCGAGTTCAGATTTCGAATGGGGAGTTACTCAACTGCCTTTTACTCTATAAATAGACCCCTTTTAAGATGTTTCCTAGAGAACCAACCTGCGCGGAAGCGCTGCCGAACACTTTTTAGACTTTTAACCCGCATATTACCTTTCCAAAGCAACAATTGCTCACATCGAGGAATTGTTGCAGTATTGTATTTACTCTTTCGTTGCACTGCTGTATACTCAGATCGAAGTTAATAAAAGTTTGTTTTTGTTTATTTCTTTGCAATCTATAGGTTATTATTTTTTTGTTTTACTGAATTTTATTTCTACGTGTCTGCACTTAACTTATTTTCATAAAAACCAAAAACTAATATTTTCTTAAGATTAATTCAATATGTATGTTGTAATTTTCAGCATTGTTAACATTTTAGGATTAGAATTAACCATGTCCGGCTAAATTAATTAGAGACCGTCTTATGAGGACCGTCGTAACCGGGGGGACTCCGTAGTTATAATAGGTACGAAATTGTAATGCATGTCATTTTGTTTGTAATCTCTAAGTCTAATTTAAGTAGCTTTGTCACAAGAGTGAGAGGTTATTTAACATTGTTTCGTCACGAGAGTGAGAAGCAAATAAAGGTTTAAGCCGAGATCCGCGAGAGCGTGAGGAGTGAACCAGATAGTAGAAATTAGGCATTGATATCTAAATACAGCGAGAGCGCTTTAGATGTTGATTAAGATATTATCGACTTTCAAAGATTAATTCTTAGTTATCGGGCGAGCGAGAGGAAAATCTTGGGATTAAGAAGTACGACTCAGTTAAGACTATGAGAGCGTGAGGCGGAGCCTTTAAGTTGGTATATCCTACGGAATAGGCGTGTAGATGTAGTTAGTACCCTTTATTTACAAGGTCCCTTATGTAACACCCCATTTCTAACCCAACAGATAAACAACAAAATACAATCAGAGTGCACTAAAATTTGATGCATGACGATCGTAATGAACGGTGACGGTCGTCACACTCACCTAAATCTAGGCGTCACATTTTCAATTTACAGAGAACATACATTTTACAATTTGATCAGACAGCATGCATTTAGTAAATATACATAGCACAAAATCCTGGATGAACAAACAACAGTTTGCCTAACATCTCGATTACAAGGCATCTTATTAATTTGCAGCGGAATATAAAATATTTCCAACATTTAGAATGATTAATGCAAGACCATGAAACTTGCAACAAAACTCCATTAAAATTCAGCAAGTAATTATCTTGCATCAATTCAACATAAACAACGAGTTTCAACCATAAAAATCAGCACTACTAATTCATCGGTATAGTGCATCCAACCAACATTTGGCACTTAACAGCAACCACCAATTTAATGAAAAGTACTTGATAAAATTCAGCAACAAGGAAATTAAATAAAAGCAATAACATCAATCGTTCATCCCCCCTAAGAGTGCTACGTATCAGAGCGACCAACAACCTTAAACGGAAAGCTACACTTTATTTTGGATTACCTGTAAGTTACCACCAACGGAGGTAACATACAACATAAAGGGTGAGATATCAACAATATAACATAAGGCATGATAAAAGTCATGTCAGAATATTATCACAGCATTATTCTTCCAACAGATCGCAAAATATTATCCATAATGGGCCGTAATAATTCGGTATTCAAAATCCATAACAATTAGCATTAACAATTCAGCAACTCAACAATACAACTCAACAATATATATATATATATATATATATATATATATATATATATATATATATATATATATATATATATATATATATATATATATATATATATATATATATATATATATATATATATATATATATATATATATATATATATATATATATATATATATATATATATATATATATGTCATATATATATATATATATATATATATATATATATATATATATATATATATATATATATATATATATATATATATATATATATATATATATATATATGCCATATATATATATATATATATATATATATATATATATATATATATATATATATATATATATATATATATATATATATATATATATATATATATATATATATATATATATATATATATATATATATATATATATATATATATATATATATATATATATATATATATATACCCTGATGAACTTTCAATCAACCTATGAAATTTTTAGGGTATGTTAGATTGATGTATGTGAAATCCACACACATTATTCATTCACCTTACTATTATGTTAGCTAACCATGTGGAATACCTGATCTTACCCGAATTAAATTGATATTATTGAATCATTGGACCAACCCAAACAATTGTTAAAGACAATATTCAAATTATATTTCTCTCTAACAATTCTTCTTTTTAATAAATATTAAAATACAATTTTATGTTTTCCTTCCCACATTCAAATAAAATCTTTTATGAGTAGATATTTCCACCGACAATCAATAGTGGTTATCCCTTTTTCCCATCTCATCTCATGCTATTAATTTTGAAATGTAATTGTAAAATTGAAGTCATGCACCAAAATAGCAGATCCAAACTCAATTTGAAAACTGATTAAACAATAGTTGCGTGTATCCTTTATATCTATTTCTTATTAACTATTAGCTCTACAACAGGTTAAACCGCCATTCTCGAACATTCTGGGCCGAAAAAATGGGCCTAGTCCAAAAGCATAAGCCCGGGCCCACTCAATACATGACGCAAGCCCACACGCAAGCACACAAAAGAAACGCGCTAATGCAAAGGTATAAAACAAACACCACCCTCTTCACTTTCTCTCCATTTTCATTCTAACTTTCAGTTTCCTAACCACAACAAATTCATCAACAATGGGAAGAAGTAAGCAATTATTTTACTTTTTTCACTTAAACTTTTTGCATTTAATTCAAAACTTTCAAATGTATTGATTCTAAATTTCTAATCATAATATGCAACATTTTGTGATATGTTTAATTAGGACCGGCGAGGTGTTACCGTCAGATAAAGAACAAACCGTATCCGAAATCGCGATTCTGCCGCGGCATTCCCGATCCAAAGATCCGAATCTACGACGCGGGAATGAAGAAAAAAGGCGTAGACGAGTTTCCTTTCTGCGTTCATCTAGTATCATGGGAGAAAGAAAATGTCTCTAGTGAAGCATTAGAGGCAGCGAGAATTGCCTGTAATAAGTACATGTCGAAATTTGCTGGAAAAGACGCGTTTCATTTGCGTGTGAGGGTTCATCCTTTTCATGTGTTGAGGATCAATAAGATGCTGTCATGCGCTGGGGCGGATAGGTTGCAGACGGGGATGAGAGGCGCGTTTGGGAAGCCGTTGGGGACGTGTGCTAGGGTGAGTATTGGGCAGGTGCTGTTGTCTGTTAGGTGTAAGAGTGGGAATGGGCAGCATGCTCAAGAGGCGCTTCGTCGGGCTAAGTTTAAGTTCCCCGGTCGTCAGAAAATTATTGTTAGTAGAAAGTGGTAAGCTTTGTTGATTGTTGATACTTGATTTTCTGAGTTCATAATCATTTGGGTATGATTTTGATTTTATGACTTGAAATTGTTTTCAAATTTTAGGGGTTTTACTAAATTGGATCAAGAGGAGTACTTGAAGTTGAAATCTGAGAACAGAATTGTGCCGGATGGTGTAAACGCTAAGGTAATTTATTACGCGGATATACTTTTTATTTTTCAGTGTCGGTGTTATAGAATAAATGTTTGATTCATTTGCTCACCTAATAAGAGAGGTTGGAGGTTTCGGCTATATTTGTGGATGGATTGAATGTGCTGAATTTGTTTTCTTTATCCTTTTTCAGGTTCTTGGGTGCCATGGACCATTGGCCAATCGTCAGCCAGGAAGAGCTTTCTTGCCAATGTCTGCTTAGACATGAAATTATTTCAACCTGCTCAATATGGATGTTTCTAATGATCAGTGATTACACTGTGATTAATCAATAGTATATATATTTAATTTTTGAGTATTCAACTGTTTTTCCAAGATGTATGGGATATGAGAGATGCAAATTTGATGTATGTAACTGTTAATTATGTCCTGTTATTGTTGGAACAATATTAAATAGTGTTTTTTGTTGTTGTGTGTAAATTGTTCTCAATATATAAGGTGTTCTGTATCCTATGTGAAATATGACAAACAAGACAGACAAGTATTAACTAATCAAGTTGTTGAATTTTAGGGACTAATGAGCTTACTATAAGTTCAAATCAATTCGACTTTATTTATTTTTCGGTTGGCACGATATCTTCCATCTTTGCAATGGGCCAAAGCAAATTGAAACCATGTTTTTCACATGATTTATGTTAGTTGCTTGTCTGCTAGTATTTGGGTTACCATGTTCAATTATTATTAGCCATACTAGTAGAAGACCCTGCTAGTATTTGGGTTACCATGTTCAATTATTATTAGCCATACTAGTAGAAGACCCGTGCGTCCGCACGGGTATGAGAAAAATAATGAGATATAGTATTAAACATGTTATAGTTGAATTATATTCAAATGCACATTAAGATCAGTATTTATGTATGTTTTCTTATTCGAATCTAACGGATTGTATCTCGTGTAACTTTATGAAGTATTTGAATAAGATTTTAAACATTACAGTGAAAAGATTGAAATATATAATAATCAGAATTTTAGACTTTTCATTTTTTAGAACAATATTTATACATAATTTCTTATTTGAATCTAATTGATTTTGTCTCGTAAGTGTTAATTTTGTTTTCATATATAAAAATAATTTAAATTCAATATTGATATTTATTATTTTTATAAAAGAAATACCCACAAATGACAATTGAATCGACAGTAGTATTTAACCTGCAATCACCAATTAAATTAATAACACTGCATTAACCATCAGTTCAATTCGCACCACCACTTAATAGTTCAATTGGCACCACCACTTCTTAATTTTTAATTGAAGTCACAAATTTGTCTTACAATAGCTCTTTATTTTTATTTAATTTTATTTGAAAGTGAATCATTTTAAAAATAGGTAAAAAAGGTGATTATTATGAAAATTTATTTAAATAAATGGTTATTTGGATAAAAATTTCTGTATTGGGACGTGTGTGATTTTCCATCATGATATACTTTTATAAGCAACTAACTTTATTTTATTTTTGGAAAAAACAATTTACGTAAAATTAGCATTATATTATCAATATACACTTTATAAAGTACGGACGTTTACTCATAGCTCTTTGATTCACATTAATAATTATAGTAAAACATTAACTGCACAATCCTTTAATTTATCAAAGTACTGTAAATTTATTTAATAGTTCGCAAGAATAAATTTATTTGATACGATATAATTATATTTAAATATACATATAAATTTAAAATAAATTATTTAATTAATATTAGCATTAAACAATGTTTCATTCAATCAATCACTTATCAATAATAAGACTTTTTTTTCAATTTTTTCCTCAAACCCTCTTAACCAATGGCCAAGAAATTATGCAGCAGTAACAATAAATTAAAATGATCAACACCATATTTCATGCCACAATTATATTTGTTCCCTCTCATATACAAAATTAAGAAACACTTTCACTTTTGATAATGGTAAAGATAGAAATTAAGTTGAAGGATTTTTGCAGTGCCTCAATTTTCCCTCAAACCCCCCTCCTTTGGCCCTCACGTTTGACCAACACTACATTCAATGGCCACACTCTTTTGATATGTTTTGGAGAAAAAGGAAAGATTGAAAGCATTCATGCAAAGTTGACTTTGGGTTGACCTAGTCATATTGGTCTTTCTCATGTGCTTGATCATAGTTATTTTCTAATGACATATCTTAAGGAGAGTTCCATTCAAAAAAGAGGATTCAAATTCAAGATGTAAATAGAGGGAAAATATTCATATACATTTAGTTTAAAAATCAAATCCAAGCCACTTTGCAAATATCATTACAAAGTCAGATTGTTCCAAATACAAGTTATACAAGAAAAGGTTACAAAAAGAAAATTATAGAAATACAACTTTGGATTTTGCTCAATTGTTGACCAAGTTTGACCCTTTGATTAAGACTCTCTAAAGACCTGATTCAATGCCATTTGCTTCCTTTCTTCTTCCATCTCAATCTTCACATTTGGGTAGTCTCATAATGTGGTCAAGTAGGCTTTATGCTCTTGCCAACATTGGTCCATCAAACTTGCCACACGCAGCACGCATCAAACTGTAACTCAACAATACAACATAACCTGCCATGAGAATAAGAAAGGAGAAGATACTTAATGGATATGCAGAATTCGAAGGTGTTTCAAAACAAAATTGGAGTTTAAAAATTGCACCACGCAGCGCAATTCATGACAGCAGAAGAACAATGATGGTATCCATGAAGATAAATTTTGAAGCATACAAGCTTACCTCAATCAAAACATGTTTGTCACGAGTGCTCAAATGTCATCTAAACCTGGACTAATGATGTGTTGCAAAGTGAAAAGATCCTGGAGAAAATCCCAGTCCTGGAACATTAGTAGAGGCAAGAGCTAGTGAGCTTGATATGTCAACCTTTCCTGCAGAGGAGATTCCTAAAAAAAAAGCAAAGCACAACATCATCACGTGAGCAGATCCAAATGTATCACATATTATTCAATAATTCAAAAGTAAATTTCGAAGCTCACTCATTCGTGTTACAAGCCATTTATCACAATTTAAATCATACCAAGTCAAGTCATTCAAAGAGCCTTACATATTCAAAGTTCATCCTAGTTTGCATTCAATTCACTCAAACCTATCATGTTTCACCCAAACATTTTAAACCAGAATTCATCCATCACAACCTAATTCGGAGTTCATTATTTAATTCAGTTTCAGACCATTTCAGTCATATCATAGCAGCATATGAGCAGCATTTCTACCATTTACAGTAGTAGAATTTCAAAGTACCTATCAAACTCAGCAGCATCACCACCTGTTTCAACAAAGTCAATGGAAGAAAGTGAATAGTTCTCATTATCAAACTCCGCTTTCATCATTTTTGCAATACTCATAACCTTCCCAAGGGTGATCGGATAGACCGCCTTCTAAGAATAATTGCCTGGAGTTGAGTACCTGACATTAAAATTTAGAGAAATCAGGTGATTGAAAAAACAAAGCAGATAACACAGCTATAACATAAATATTAGCATATCTAGTGTTTCAAGTAATTTCTTAGTACTTCTTGAAAAAATCATTAAGCAGGTAAAAAACTACACTACAAATAGTTTGACACAGTCAATTTGATGATTCTGAACAAACCTTCTAATCATGTGAATCAAAAAATACACTGCAAATAGCCTGACACAAACCTTCTAATCATGTGAATCAAAAGGTACAAATATCATGTTTGCAACCGACATAACAAATAAGTAAATATTTGAGAGAATTACCTCATCAAAATCAGCTGCTGCACCAGTTGGAGTTGAGATCGCCAGCAAATGAAGCCTTGTTGCCAGTAAATGAGAAAAATGGCAAAGGAACTGGAATAGGAACACATTAAGACAATGAATTTTCACTGCAGGAGGAACACAAAACCTCCTAAATGAGAAAAATAAAGGATGAACTAATCATATCAGAAAAAGAATAGACATCACCACAAAGGAGTCTACATTGCTTGGGGTATACAAACATTCAGACAAAGCTTAATAGCTAACCTTGGCAAGAAGTTCGTCTCTTTGACAACCACGTTCAACATCCTTCTCTAATTTAGCATTACGTTCCTTCAACTGATTTAAAGTTCGTTCGTTTTTCTCAAGAGACTGAAACAAAATTAATAAACCAATCCTGAAGTTATCGAGCAACTATGATTTAGGAGATTTCTATAATTTCTTAGCAAAGGGTGAACTTACCAGCTCGACATGCTTCAATGCACGACTTTTATCAATTAGTGCACGATGTTGCTCAGGAAGTTGTGGGTCACCAACAGCCTTTTCGATCTCTTCCAGAAGTTGCACGGGAGTTAACTTTGCAAACTCACAGACCCTGTCTTGCGGTAAGAACTACCAAAAAGCCAAGTATTAGCCGATCATAGATTTGAGCATCACAATAAACATAACACCTATAGCAATATTCCTCAAAACTAATACATAAAATAACTAAATCACATGGAGCAAAGTTGTTAAATGCCGGTATTGGAGATGGCAGTGGCAGAAATTTGACAAACTACCATACAATGGCACTGGCATTGCAGATTATGATTTCGTTATATTTAAATCCAGCGGTGAGGCTTATATTAAGCCTCTCTCTGGATATGGAATAAGACATGTTTTCTTTTCTGGACTTTGCTTAAAACAGCTAAAATTTTAAAATTATTAATCGTACAACTAATAAAGCATTTGACCAAAAGTCAAGACCCCTCCCCCAACTTCAGCCGCTGCTAAAATATAAGCAACTTTCTCGTCTAGCAATTCAAATTCTAAGAAGCTTAAAATTTAAACAATTACTAACATGTAACAAAGTAAGAAAAGACACATACTTAATAGGCTCTTTAACTTCATTTAATAATTTTGCAGCCTTTTCAAACTCTTTTGCAGCGGTCTTTTCTCGCTCCTTAGCTTCACGATACTCTGCCTGCTTCATATCATACCTCAGCCATGGCAATTTCTTTTTCATTGATTCGGCCTACAAAACAGATACAGGCATGTTTTTTTATCTTTTCCATTAAAAAAATACATTAAGACAGTGAATTTTCACTGCAGGAGGAAATAAACACAGCCATCATACCTTTCTGCTCTTCAAATGGTAGAAATCAATAAGGTCATCAGGCTGTGCATTAGAAATTTGAGCCTTTGCTTTAATCTCCTCTGTCTCACGGCGCTGCTTATCAGCAAGCATTTTCACAAAGCTCTGCCTGCAAGATTGCATCCATATCTTCCT